AGAGAGAGAGACAAAGAGACTGAAAGTGAGGAATCACCCCCCCGGGGAGATGGCCACGCTGCAATCCCTTCTCCTCTATTCTCCTTTTGGGATCTTGAGCATGCACACACATGTGCCTGGTGTGAGTTTAAGCCACCGGGTCTGGGACATGAACTGCGGTCGACTACGTGGGAGTCCAGCGACATAGCCATTATGCTAACTGCTGGTCCCCTGTTTGTGTGTTTTTGAGGTTATAAACATTTAATGTACAATATTATGCTGGGAAAGGCAAGATGCAAATACTTGAACATAATCCGTAGTCGAGAAGTCTGAGGGACGTAAGGCAGTGAGTGCGTGAGTATATAAAGGAGATCAAAGGGGAGAGTGTAGGAGCAGGAAACCAGATGCGAGGGTGTCCATCATTCCAACGTGAGGTTAACTCGGGCAGCGGGGAGGAGGCCCCAGAGCTCAGGGCTAGGCACTGTGCAGAGGGAGCTGACCCCAGTGGCCAGCCAGGCTTCCAGTCTTGGCCCCATTGGCTTCATGCCAGACATGTGCTCAGGATCTGAACAGGATTGGAGACCTGGAGGACAAAGGATTTTAGCCTGACCAAACCTTTGGAGGGTCTCTGTCTGTCTGTCTGTCTCTTTTCCATGTGCACCTAGCCTTTGGCATTAAAAAAAAAATAAGGCCAGTCATAAATAGAGGGCTATTAGAAGAGATGCTGGATAGTCCGTTCTTTTTTTTTTTTTTTTTTTTTAGGGGGTTTTTTTTTGCTATACGGCACGTGCACTCACCAGAAAGACTTAGGGCACATGTGCTCACTGGAGAAACAGAGAGGGAAAGTGAGAAATCACCTCCCAGAGGGGATGGCCATGCTGTAATCCCTTCTTCTCTTGGGATTTTGGGCATGCACACACTTGAACCCTGTGTGAGTTTTAAGCTCTTGGGTCCGGGACTTGAACCATAGTTGACTATGTGGGAGTCCAGTGATGTAGCCATTACACCATCTGCTGGTCCCAATAGTCCGAGGATATAATAGTGTCAAAGTACATACTGTGAAAAGAAATTCAAATAATACAGAAATGCAGAAGTATAAAAAGTAAGATGTCTAATTCTTTTCAGCTGCTCCCTGGTTCTGTTCTGTTGTGTTAACTACTTTAAACAGTTGGATTTTTTTTCATGATGTAATTATAGAATTTCAGAAATATAGTACAGAATTGCATGGAGCAAAAAAGTAAGTCTCTGGGCCAGGAGGTGGTGTGGAGGTTAAAGTGCTGTATCCCACATGGCTGACTGTGGTTCAAGTCCCAGACTCGGCAGCTTACACATCACACTGGGCACGTGTGTGTGTGTGTGTGTGTGTGTGCGTGTGCGTGTGTGTACCCAAAACCTTAAGGGGAGACTGAAGAAAGGATTGCAGTGTGGCCATCCCTCCTGGAGGTGATTTTTCTCTTTCTCTCTGTCTTCCTTGGGTAAGCACATATATCTTATAGCAAAAAAGAAAAAAATAAACTCAAAAAATGAAAAAAAGTATAAGTCTCCTATCCTACTTCCAAAAGATAACAACTTAAAAATAATTTTTACTATAAAAATTTTTTATGAGAGATTTTTGCTATGGGGATGTATGCTTGCCAGAGTGACAGAGAGATGGAGAGAGACAGACAGAAAGTGAGAAATCACCCCCCGGGGGGATGGCTACACCACAATCCCTTCTCCTCCATTCTCTGCTCAGGATTTTGAGCACATATGCACACACGCTAGGTGTGAATTTTAAGCCCCAGATCTGGGATTTGAACCACAGTCGACTATGTGGGAGTCCAGTGATGTAACCATTAAGCTATCTGCTGGTCCCAGTTATAGAATTTTTTAAACATAGACTACAGAGAAGAGTAATGAACTCCCAAGTACTCATTATCCAGTTTTATTTTAAGAATTAATTTATTATTATTTTAAAATTTGCTATAGGGCACATGCACTCATCAGAGAGAGAAAGAGAGAGGGAAAGTGAGAAAGCAAGCCACCAGGTTCAGAACTCAGACTGCAGTCAGCCATGTGGGAGCCCACCACCTTAACCATCACACCACCTGCTGGTCCCACATTACCCAGTTTTCATCTTATTTTATGTATATCTCCTTCCTCAGACGTGCAGTGGGTTATTTTTAATGTAAACCCTATACACCATCTCACTTTATCATTGACTATTTAGAATAAATCTCTAAGATTTATTGATAAGATCTTAGAAACCTACTCACAGTACACTTCGTATACTTAAAGAAAGTCATGGTAATGCCTCAAGACCACCAAATATCTACGCATTATCAGAATTTCTTTGGTTGTTTCAGAATTTTTTTTTAATAGATTTTTGCTATATGGCGTGTGTGCTCTCTGGAGAAACAGAGACAGAAAGTGAGACATCACTTCCTGGGAGGATAGCCATGCTGCAATCCCTTTTCCTCTATTCTCCTCTCTGGTTTTTGGGTATGCATGCACACACACCCAGTGTGTTTTAAGCTGCTGAATCTGGGACTCGAACCATGATTAACCATATGGGAGTCCAGTGCCTTAACCACTATGCCACCTGCTGTCCTGGTTGTTTCAGAACCTTAACCACTATGCCACCTGCTGGCTCTGGTTGTTTCAGAATTTTTTTTTTAATTAATTTTTTTAGAGTTTTTTTTTTTTCCATAAAGTATATGTACTCTTTGGAGAGGGACAGAGAGACAGAGACAGTGGGAGGGCAAGTGAGAAATCCCCCCCGGGAGATGGCCACATGACAATCCCTTCCCTTTCGTTCTCTTGTGATGTTAGGCCTGTACGTGTATATGTGCTTGGCATGAATTTCAAGCCACTGGGTCTGGGACTTGAATGGCAGTTGGCCATGTGGGAGTCCACTGACATAACCACTATACTCTCTGCTGGCCCCTGTTTTAGGATTTTTTAAAAAACTTAATTTCTTTTGAGAGAGAGAGGCAGGCACCCTCCACAAGATCTCATGTCATGATCCACCGCCTACCTTTCTACCAGCCAGATCATGTTGGGTACATACAGGTTGACCCAGGAACTGAACTCTGATCTCCCACGTGACCTCCAGCATTGCAGAACCGTGTGCTGCCGCTGTGACACTGTGGCTGGGCTTCAGATGTATTTTTTGGTTGATTTATTTGAACTAGGATCCAAGCATTGCACTTGGGTATAAGCGCTTTTCATTTATGAAGGCCCTCTCTCCCCTCTTTGTGGTGTGTGAAGAGGCGGAGGGGAAGACACGCCTTCCCCCTTCCCTCGGCCGTTCTGGGGTGTGCGCCATGGTTAAGCCTCCTTGTGCAGCTGTGGTTTTAACATAGAGGACTTACAGATGGGGTTTTTGTCTTTCATCCTTAGATGGTGACTAACACGTTCTCCGAGTTCACTGGAAGAATCGTGATGCCCCTGGTCGTCATGCCATTAGGGGAAGAAGTTGTGTTGAACTTAATGACTGTGTGTTGGACTCCAGTGTGGTGTGTCTTCCTGAGAGATTGTGTGGCAGTTGTGGTTACACAGTCATCCCACAGTATCCGCAGGGAGTTGGGTACCGAAATCAGTGGATGCTCAGATCCCTTGTATGAAATGGTGCAGTATCGCGCATCACCTACGACTATCCTCCCGTGTGCTCTCGATCGTCTCTGGATGGGCCCAGAGCGGTAGTGCGGGTGGTAGAGCTCTGCTGAGTGATGCCGGAGCCATGAGGGCGGCTCGGGCTCAGGTTCTGGACCAACTTAAACCTGCTGGCCACAGAGGTGTGCGCCTCCTGGCTGACAGAGGCTGGGGTGGGAGGAATGTGGCATGGCGAGACCCTGTCAATAATACCTCTTTCTCTCTCTCCCCCCCGTCATAAACACATACACATAAAACAAAAACAAAATCATATTACAACATAAATAGTCTTTATACTGATTGTTTAGGGAAAGGGAATTTGTATAAACTCGGTACCAGATGTACACAGTCATTAAGTTGTTAGAAGGTACATGCATTTGCCAGAGAGCGAGAGAAGGGGGTGGGGCATGTGGGAGTGCGGCGCCTTAACCGTCACACCACCTGCTGGCCCCACGTTGTCTAGTTTTAATTTTATTTCATGGTCATGTGATCATGCTGCAGTCTTTCTCCGTTCTGTTGGGATTTGGGGCGTGCATGCACATGCTCCCAGCATGTGTTTCAAGCCAGGAGGGTCAGGATTTGAACTGATATTGCCCATGTGGAATCTGACTCTCTTAACCACTAGGCTACGGTGCTAGCCCCTTAACCAATTTTATTTATTTATTTTTGAATATTTTTGATCGACAGTTGGTTGAATCTGTGGCTGCAGGCCTGTGGGTGCCAAGGGGCAAGCATCCTCGATTTGCATGATTTCGCTCTGATGGACTGAACAGGATTTGACTTGGGACTGAACCTTTGTGACTGTTCCAAGTTCTGAACTGTAAATAGATTTTAATTTTGTATAAAGTTTTTATTTCTGTGCTGGATGAATTAATGGCTTTCATTTGAAGCCATTGCTACATTGTGGAGGATATATCTGTAGTTAGAGTCAGTCAGTGTTAAAGGTGACTTTTCTGTTCCGTGAGTATTCGGTATAGTCTCATGGGCTGCCTCCCACTCAGGCTGACGTGGGCAGTCGTGGCTCCGGGACATGTCCCCTGTTTCTACCAGAGCAGTTCTCAGCCCTCGCCCCACCCTGAGTGTTTATATCTGAAGATTTCTTTTGAGGAAGAAGAGTTTACAGCTGAAAAGGGCTGAAAGCATTCGCTCCATATATAATGCTTAGATGTAGGCCGGCTCGTTTTAGGAACTGTTTTCCCCTTCATACTCAGCTGGTGCATTACTGTGATATTTCCATGTGAAACTCTGTGCAAGTACACATACTTCCACTGTGGGGGGTTCAGTGATGTCTCTGAGATGTGCACTTCCAGCTTTTGATTTCCACGTCTGGTACCAGGTGGCTTCTCAGGTTCACGTGTCATCTTGTATTTGTTACTTCCTTTCCGCAGGTTTTCAGCAAACCTCACATCTCTCTTCCTATGAAATTATAACTCCGTGGAGATTAACTAGAGAACGAAGAGAAGCCCCTCGGCCCCATGCAGAACAGGTAATTACTCCTTGAGAAATGAGAATGTATTTGAATTTTCCTTTTTTTTACACAGTTGTATCATTGGCCACAGTGATAGGTTCAGGAGAAGCTTATAGCAGGTGGTGCAGCATCGCACAACACTGGTGTCTGTGGACATTATTCCAGTAAAAGCGACTTGCTGAGCTGTAGTTACTCCCCCCCAACTCAAGATGACAAACTTAACGTGTAACAGAATGAGGGGACCAGAGGTGGCAGGCGTAGGGATGAAGGTGCTGGATTCCCACATGGCCAATGTGGGGTTTGAGACCTGGACCTGGCAGTGTGAAAATCATGCTGGGCATGTGTGCATGCCTGAAAAATCCCAGGAGGAGAATAGAGGAGAAAGGATGGCGAAGTGGCTATCATCCCCAACCTTGGGGAGCGATTTCTCACTTTCCCTCTCTGTTTCTCTTTGAAGAGTGCATGTGCACTATGGCAAAACCTTTTTTAAAAAAAGATATAACAGAATGGAATAGTTAAGTAAAAATTCTATGACCAGGGTTGGATACCGATTTTGTAGATTTTTTTTTCTTTTTTTGGAGAGGTTTTTTCTTACTGGGCGCGTGTGCTCGCCAGAAAGACAGAGAGATAGAAAGCGAGAAATCACCCCCCAGAGGGGATGGCCATGCCACAGTCCCTTCTCCTCCCTTCTCTTCTCAGGATCTTGGGCATGCACGCACACATGCCCGGCGTGAGTTTTAAGCCACCGGGTCTGGGACTTGAACCGTGGTTGACTACATGGGAGTCCAGTGACATAGCCATTACGCTAACTGCTGGTCCCCAATTTTGTAGATTTCTAACCCTTACCTGACTGGCAATGGCCACAGTGCTCTTATAATAATAACAATTAACCTCACTCGGCTCGTAATAGAATATGTCACACAGTGTCGCTACTAACTCTGGGAAATCGGAATGCGTTAAATGCATATATTTCAGTAAATATTTGGAGATATTTACTGAAAAGGAGCTTTATTTCCATTTTGGAAGACATCTGTTGTCCTATTAACAGTGTAACCAATGCACAACAACTATTTTTTTCTGGTATTTTTCTCCCCCTGTATTGAGAAATAACATGTTTGAACTTCATTTGATTTTGGGAACCCTTCAATTTTACTCAAGTATAAATGAATTCTATGGGAGTTTAACAGTGACAGACAAGGCTGGAATTTAGCCGACTGCCTCTGAATTGCTGAAATCCTTGGAAATACATGGCAGCTGGAGCGTCACTTGGGGGCTGAGCATGGGAAGAAGAACCGGCACCACTGCTGATGGGATGGGTCATTCTCCCCAGGTAGTCCTCCATCAGTAGGGAGTAAAGGACTCTGAAGTCTGTAATAGAATAACTTTTGAGTTTTCACCTGTTTTTGATTTGAACTGGATGGTCTGCCATCTGACTGAGTTTTGCCTTGGATAGAATAAATCTCTGCTTGCTTCATTGCTTTTCTGTCCTTTCCTCGCTGGCTGGTGGACGTTAGCCTAGGGACCGAGTTCCCTACTGCACTGTGTGTGGATCTTCAGTGCCGCACTCGTGGGTACTGTGGTCGTGAGAAATGATGTGCTGCTCTAAGTGTTGGAGTATGGGCAGCACAGCATGTCAGTGTAATTTTCTCATTCAGAAATAAGTATTGAGCACCTACTGTGTGCTGCTCTGTTCAGGCATTGGGGATATGACAGTGAGCAAAACAAAAACCCACAGGCCCTTAAGGAACATCCACTGTAGTGAGGGGCGGGGGGAGAGGCAGTAAGCAAATACATAATATATATATTACTTAAGGAAAGAAGTGCTATGGAGGAAATTAAAACAGTTGGGGAGATGGGGAGAGCTGGAGTGGTGAGGGATTTGCATTTTCTAAGGGGACAGCTGGGAGCACCACCCAGTAGGTGACCTTGGAGTAAGTACCAGGAGGGGAGTGAGTGATCAGGCAGAAAGGTCCCAGAACAGGTCCAAAGTCTAAGTGGTCTTCCCACAGAGCTGGCAGTGATGTTTCTGCGGCGTCCGATTGGCCAAGAGTGGAACGCGTAGGGAGGCGCGTGCCTAAACCGTGGCGATAGAAGGAGCTCGGTGTCTTGATGTCCGGGTGGAGACTTACAATTGGCGTCCTTGGATCCCTACTTAGAACGGTGGTGGAATATTCGCCTGGATCCAGAAGGCGTTCCAGTCTTGGAAGTCAGAGGGTGGCGTGCCATGACACGACCTGGCCATTTCTTGATTGTTAACATGGTGTCTGGAAACAGAAGAGAAAGCAGACACTCGTGTAGCATGATATGAATGAGTCCCTTCATGATTTTTTATATTAAACAGTTAAAGCAGGCCCAGGCGCGGTGGTACAGGTCAGGGCACCAAGTCACCATGACCGAGGCCACAGGGCAGGCCTGGTTTGGTTCCCGGTCCAGCCTAAACAGGCTGAGCGTGGCTGTGCCTGCCTGGAGTCTTAGTTAACTGGGAGGCTGGGGCAGAAGGGTCGAGGTGTGGCAAGACCTTGTCGAAAATAGCCCTCTCTTCCCCTCCCAATCTCTCTGCCATAAAATGTTGGGGCAAAGTTGAATCTCCTGGTTCTGGGGACCACACTGAGCACTTGTGGTTCAAGAATGGTGAAGGGGTGAGGGCTGTGGTCAGACACTGGCACTGCCATAGCAGTTCTGCATCTGGTGGTTGAAGGGAGTAGCAGTCACTTGGTTCACAGCGTCCGGGGCTGACAAGTCCAGGAGCTGAGCTGGTGTCTGGGGAGGGTGTGCCCAAAATCCAGATAGGAGAAATGGAGAATGGATTCTGGTGTGGCCACCACCCACAGGGCGTGCTTTCTTACCTTCCTCCTCTTTCTCTGTCTCTCTTTGTCAAGCACACGTGTGTATATATATGTAAACATGTACCGTGTGTGTGTATACAGTCCTAAAAAAGCATACATTTCTTTTATATTTTCAGATAACTATAGCTAGGGATAGTCTCTTCAAACTAAGAGGTCGTTTGATTTTTGCCGACAGGAAGAGCTACTTTATGCCATAGATACTGTAAGGCATCTTCAGTATGTCCGTGAGAAAGGCACAGTATGCAAAATTCTGTGGATTTAAAAAATTTTAAACTTGTACTTCAATTCTGTTTTCTCATGAGATTTTTGAAGTCCCAGCATAGTCAGGTGGACTTAAAAAAATAATCCCCGCAGTTACAGCTAAATCGTACCTGAATTTAAGAAGAGGTTAGATAAACATGCAGGTGATTTTCCATCATCAGCTTTAAAGGAAGGGCTCGGTGAATAGAATAAAGTTTTATTATTAACAATAGATGCAGAGGTCTTCTATAAAGCAGCTCAGTCAGTCCCAGATTTTAATTCGGGTTGGAATTTCCCGTCTTATACATGACAAGTTGTTGACAAGTAACTTAACCCGATGGTGTGTATTGTTCTTTCTTCCTCTGCGCGTGCAGGTATCTTATGTCATTCAAGCCGAAGGGAAGGAGCACATTATCCACCTGGAGAGGAACAGGTAAGACATTTCATTTCCTTTGACTTCCCAGTGACTTTTCCCAGTAGGAAGCTGATCTCTTCCCACTTCGGTGCCGCACCGGCTCTGAGGTTCTGAGCCCCTGAGCCCCTGAGGTTCTGAGGTTCTGAGGTTCTGAGCCCTGTGGCTGGCAGCTCTCACCGCTTCTCTTGCCCGTGGAGAAGCAGAGGGGCTCTGCTCTGGCTGGGCAGGTGGTGGGTGGCCCCAGGGGGACGGAGGGCGGAGCACCGCCAGACACCCTGTCTACTCCTTTCAGCCTCACCAGCAGCGAGAGCAAAGGTCTGTGCCTGGGGAGGAGTTTGGGAGCAGGGGAGGCTGCAGTCCCCAGACAGGTCCGGTTATTGAAGGGACTCCGCATGGCATAGGCTGCCCTGCTGGTGTGGCCTCTAGCGAAGGTGGGCGGCCTAGCACGTCAGAGAAAGTGCTGGTCGTCAGGGACGAGTCTGACACTTGCAGGTCGATCCTTCCTCAGGTGCGTGCTTCCTCTTCAGAGTACAAGCCCCTGAGATTCATGAGCAGCATCAGATTTTCAGGCCCCAGTTTCCCAAGGGGATCTTTTATGCTCCACTGATCGTGTAGCCGAAGTCCGGTAATGTAATCAGTTAAACCAGAGGAAAACCCCAGTCTAGCCATCGCTAGGCAGCATGGACAGGCTGGTCCCGGGGGCTTCCGGGAGGTTGGAGTTTGAATGACGCATTATCAGTCTCTCTGTGACTGGCACATTGCGTCCTTGACGTGTCCTGAGGCCAGCGGATGCGCCCAGAGCTGGTCCAGTCCTGCTACAGGAGAACCTAACCGCGCCCACCTGGTTATGCTGCTGGGCTTCCCTGGTGGGAACGGGCTTGTGGGGGGTCAGGGTGATCACTTCTCCAGCTCTGGCACAGAATTTGCCTCTGTGCTGAGGGTTGAAGGCAACGACTGCTTCTTGTTTCTGCAGGACTTCTGAGGGTGGACGCCACACCTTGGGCAGGGTGGGGCTCGCGAACATCTCTAACTGTTCCTTCGTGGAATTGGCTGGGGCGTTCTGGAGGCATGCACTCTGCTCCAACCTCAACATCCCCGAATCAGAGGCTCTAAGTTAATGAACAAGCTCTGGTGACTGCTAATTGATAACCTGACCTTTTATTGTCAACCTCAATCAATACGTGCAGGAGCCAGATCCCCGCCTTGGGGACAGGGAGTCTGTGCTGACCTCCTAGGGGCTGTACCTGCTCTTTGATCTTAACAGACCCGCCCTGAGCTGTGCTCATGACGGTGCAGGGGCTTCACGCCCCAGGAAGTAAACTCCCTTCTTCCCAGGCTGGGCACCCAGGTGTGTTTGTTGGAACTGGTGAACATTTGGGCAGACCTCTCAGGTTTGGGGCGCCCCGCTTACACCTTTTGGGACAGAGTATGTAGTAAGCTTTCTCTTTACGTGCGGTGTAAGGGCAGCCACCTAGTTTATACTTCTCCCGTGAGGCGTGTCAGAACAGTTTCTTACTTTACGTCTTTTTTACAACCAGAATTGTATGAGCTTTTGCGTAGCTTAGCATTATTTTTGTTATTAACGTACGCTCTTTCAGACCTGTGTCTGTTTCCGGGCTTTTCATCTGACGGCAGCACACTCCTCACATTCTAATCCGTCAGCTGCAAGCTTTTCTTTGTTCCTGCTCCTCTGGCCCAGGAACGATGCCGATGACTCGCGGCCTTCATTGCAGACAGGTGCCTTGCAGCCACACTGTGTGTTTTCTTCCTCTCCAGAGACCTGTTGCCTGAAGACTTTGTGGTTTATACCTACAACGAGGAGGGGGCCCTGATCGCTGACCATCCTAATGTACAGGTAATATGTTTTCCTCTTGATCCTGTAGCAAGATTTTTTTAAATTATGATTTTAAAATGAGTTCCATTTAGGTGTTCAGGACTATTACCTCGTGCCCTGTGGGACACCTTCCATGTTAGAAAGTAGGGATGCTCCAGAAGAAAAGGGACTGGCAGGTGGTGTGGTGATTTAGATGCTGGACTCCCACATGGCCCACCATGGTTTGAGTCCTGGACCTGGCAGTTTGCTTTCTCACTCTCCTCTCTCTCTCTCACCAAATTGAATAATAATAAAAAATAAATAAAATTAAATTAAAAATACTTCTTAAAAAAAAGAAAATAGGAGCTCTCTTGGGGGAGATGGGTGCCTTTACAGGATGGAGATGTACTTCATGCTCCTGGGTGATCGGAGCTTAAGGGTTTTTCTTTCTTTCTTTTTTCTCTTCCTTTCCTTCTTTTTTGTTTTGTAAGACTGCAACTGGCTGCCCCCCAGTGCAGTGGTTAAGTGCTATATGTAAGGAGCCACATCTGACGGGGTGCTAATCCTGGCCCCAGTGGCTTGAAAGACATGCTAGGTGCATGTGCACACATGCCCCAAATCCTGACAGGATGGAGAAATGGAGGAGAAGGGGGTCCTCACTTGCTCTCTTTCTCTTACATGTGCCCTCTGACAAAAAAAAAAAAAAAAAAAAAAAAAAAAGCAACAAGAAAGCACAGACTGAGAAATACTGTTCTATTTAATAATAATGCTTGCTTATTACAAAGGGAAAACAAGTTTGAGATGTTCTAAAAACAGAAGATTTGGGGCCAGTAGTCAGTGTGGAGGTTAAGGTGCTGGATCCCACATGGCCGGTTGCGAGCTTTAGTTCTAGACCCCGTAGTTTGAAAGTCATGCCAGGTGCCTGTGCACCCGAAGTCCTAAAAGGAGACTGGAAGAGAAGGGCTTGCAGCATGGCCATTGCCCCTGGGGGGTGGTGTCTCACTTTCCCGCTCTTTATCACTCTCTCTCTGGCATATGTACACGCCCTGTAACTTAAACTGAAAGAAAAAGAAAGAAAGAAAAAGAAGAAAAAAAAGTTTGAGATGTATCTTATAACTTCCTTATTAAACCATTTGATTTGTCACTAGTATTTAGTGAAAAAATCCAGTCATTTGCTGTTATGGTTTTAAATTTTTCACTGAAAACAATTCTTCTCTAAAGAGGTGTGGTCCCCTCTGCAAGAACAAAATACCCCTGGGAGCAGAACTGGCCAGGAGTACACGACATAACTGGCAGATGTTAAATTTGGCTTTTTACTTAGAGTATAAACATTTCTGGTTTTGTTTGTGAAGAGTGTTTTCCAATCCTTTTTGTGAAGGTAGGTGTTATATGTCTTTTTTGCAGTAATTTTCATGGGCAATCACTGTTCTCATTAAATGTGTTACTTTTTTCCCCGTGAACTTGGTAATGCTTTGCTAGGTTAAATTATATGGGTTAGTTTTACACTTTTACAGCATTCTTCAAATAAATAGAAGTGAAAATATTTATTATAGGTTGTTTTTTTGAGGTATTTTTGTTATAGGGTACGTACATTTGTCAGATAGAGAGAGACAAAATGAGAAATCATGCACCAGGAAAGATGGCCACGCTGCAGTCCCTTCTCCATTCTCCTCTTGCGATTTTGAGCACTCACGCACATGCTCCTGGCATGACTTTCAAGCCGCCAGGTGCAGGACTTGAACCACAGTCTACCACATTGGAGTCCAGTGCCTTAACCACTATGCCACCTGCTGGTCCCAGGTTGATATTTTAGTAGTTTAAAAAAGAAGAGGGTGCTGGGACCCGTAGGTGGTATGGTGGTTAAGGTACTAGATTCCCGCATGGCTGACCATGGTTTGAATCCTGGGACTAGCGGCTTGAAAATCAAGCTGTGCATGTGTGCCCCGAATCCCGAGAAGACAGTGGAGGGGAAGGGATTGTAGTGTGGCCATACTACCCTGGGGTGATTTCTCACTTCTCCTCTCTGTCTCCCTCTGGCTACCGACCATACGAGCCCTATGGCGAAAACCTTAAAAACAGAAGTTCTAACTCAGTCCTGTTGTTTTCTGCTCTATCATCTGATTACCTTATCCATTCTTCAATAGAAACTTAATAGACAAGTATAAATTTACTGTGAAGTATAAACCAATGAAGAAAAGTCCCTCCATTCACTCATCTAATCATTGCCGTGGCAGGAGGCCAGGGACCGCGTCATTTGCGCCATCCGACAACAGTAGTTATCTTAAAAGACATTCTTTTTTCTTTGTGGCAGTTCCTTGGCATGTTTTCTTGAATCATACTGTTTGGGTTCAAATTTTGGCTCTGTAATTTATTTCCTGGTCAAGTTATTTTAACCTGTGTGTGCCTTAGTACCCTCACTTTAAATTGGGAGTAATGGTTACTACTTCACAGAGTTACCGGGAGGCTTACATGAGTTAATAATTATGCAATGAGATACTTGGAACATGCAGGCTGACAGTCTTTAACTCCATAAGAATTATTTTTATTTGTTGCACTTACTGAGACTATATATGCTTAAAGCTGCTAAAAATAGGGACCAGCAGATGGCATAATAGTTACGTCACTGGATTCCTACATAGTCCATCACAGTTTGAGCCCCAGACCTGGTGGTTTGAAACTCACACCGGGTTGAGTGCATGCGTGCTCAAAATTCCAAGAGGATAATGGAGGAGAAGGGACTGCAGCGTGGCTGCCCCCCCAGGAATATTTCTTGCTTTCTGTCTCCCTGGTGAGCACACGCGCCCTATAGCAAAAATCTCTCTTAAAGAAAAATAAAGGAACTGCTAAAAATAGATTTCAGCTATGTAGAAAGTAAATGTTATCTAATTGTTAACATGGTAACATTTAACATGCACTCTTTCAGCTTGCTGTCTGCTTGTGAGCTCTTCATTTTGTAATAGCACATTCTTTAATCATTTATCAACTGGACATTTTTCTTTCTTCCTGATCATCTCTTCTAGGAATGATGCCATCTGAGTTGTGTCCTTGGTTGTAGATCAATCCCCTAGACGTTGACATTTGACCACATTTCTCTCTCTTCTCCATTTTTCTCTGAATTTTAAAAAATAATTATTTAATTTCATTTATTCATTCATTTATTTTAATTTGACCAGAGGGGGTGGTGGAAGTGAGAAAGCAAGCCAGTAGGTCTGGGACTCAAACCGTGGTCAGCCACGTGGGTGGGTCTAGTGTATTAACCACCACACCACCTGCTGGTCCCTCTCTCAATGTTTAAAGAGTATGTTCCAGAAATGGTGCCCCTTTACCCTTAAATACTTAGTGCAAATTTCTGAAAAACAAAGATTTCCTTCATGTAACCACATCTTGATTCTCCAAATTAGGAATCAACATGGAAACAATGCCGTTATCTAACTTGTAGACCTTACTGGAATTTTTTTAGGAGTAAACTACCCTAATAATGTCTTCCATAGCAAAAGAAAATCCAGATCCATGGGGTGCGTCCAGCAGTCACGTCTCTGTAGTGCTCTGTAACCTCGACATTCCTAGCCGGCCTGTATTTCCTGACACTGGCGTTGTCAAGTGTGCAGACCATTCTGAGGCGCACAGGCTGATTGCAGGAGGCCCTGTGGTTTGGGCGGTCGATGTGACTCATGACAAATGTAGTCCCTTGGCCAGTGCTTGACGTGTCCTGTCATAAGCTCATGCTGGCCACGGTCTTTACTCAGCAGAGTTAACACTGGGTGTTGGCTAAGGAGGCGTCTGCCAGGCTTCTTCTCTGGAAAGTTATTGTTTTCACCTTCTAAATGAATGTTATGATTAAGTTTTAAAAAAATTTGTTACAGGGCACATGTACTTGCTGGAGAGAGACAGAGAGAGAGGGAAATTAAGAAATCACCCCCCAGGCGGATGGCCATGCTCCAGTCCTTTCTCTTTCATTCTCCTGTTGGGATTCTGGGCATGCACGCACACATGCCTGGAGTGATTTTCAAGCCGCTGGGTCCAGGACTCAAAGCACTGCATTTGGCCCTGTAGGATCTGGCCACTTTAACCTCCGTGCCACCAGCTGGCCCATGGTTAATTTTTTTTTCTAAATTAAAGAAGACTAAATCCCAAATTCATGGTATTGGACTTTCTTTCTTTTCTTTTTTTTGTTTTTGACCGTAAATATACTGTTACTGCTGAAGTTTTTACCCGCTATTTTTAGTATTTGGTATCTTTATCTGCCTGAATGAGTTGTCTTTATGGAGGCTGTCAAGGTGGTGCGTTCCTAATTCCGTCACTACATCTGCAGTCACTAGTGCTTTCTACTATAAGAAAGAGTTTTTCCATTCTATTCATATCAGTGTAGACTCTGGGATACTTTTTCATGAATGAGATAGAAAGTCTTCTCTTATAGGTAAGGGCACTTTTGTCTTTGGTGAACTGTCCGTTCATGTCTTTAACCCAAGTTTCTCTCTTTCTTTTCACTGTTGAAGAGGTCTTTGTATTTAGGGACATTAATCCTTGATGATGTAAGTTATAAACATTTTCTTCTAGTTTGCCTTTTTATTTATTTATTTTTTTTGGTGCTTCCAACTAGAAGCTTAGAAAAATTTTTATATATAGTAAAAATGACCAATTTTTTCTTTTACTGCATCTAGATTATGAGTGATAGAAACTCTTTCTATAGGTTAAAGAGAAATTCACCCATGCTTCTTAGGTTTTTTTGAATGTTTAGTCTTGATCCATTTGTTACTTACTTTTATGTATGGTATGAGATATGGGTCTAATTTTACTCTTTTTCAAATGTCTAAATGGTAGGCTGAACAGTATATATATATTTAAAAATTATGCAGGGCCCAGCAGGTGGCTTGGTAGTTAAAGATGCTGGACTCTCACATGGCCAACCGCAGTTCGAGTCAGACCTGACTGCTTGGAAACCACATCAGGCATGTGTTCATGCACGCCCCAAATCTTGACAGGAGAGTGGAGGAGAAAGGATTGTGGCGTGGCCATATTCCCTAGGGGGTGATGTGTCATTTTCCCTCTTACTGGCTCTGTCTCTCTCTGGTGAGCACACTCATCCTATGGCAAAACAAAAAAAGAAAAGAAAGAAGAGAAAAAAAGAAAAGGTATGTGTTTGCTGCAGTGATCTGAGATGTCACTGTTTTCCTGTGTGGTTCTGTGTGCACTCTGAACTGTTTAGAGATTGTTCTGTTCTGTTCCACTGGTGGGGCTGTCTTAAAGCACCAGTGCCGAGCTGTTTTAAAGAGCAAGGCCTTGTGGGTGTCTTCGTATCTGGGAGTGCTAGTGCTTCTCATCCCTCAGCATCTGTGTTTCAGTGCTTTGTAATCATTTGAAAGATGAGGCTATCTCATTAGGTACTCAAGGGTGTGGTTTTACTACGTGGTATTACCCTTGCATTGTCATTGGTATATTTCTTGCTCAAAATTAAGGGTAAATGTTCCTAATTTTTTTTTTAAAGAGATTTTTGCTATAGGACGTCTGCATTCACTGGAGAGACAGAGAGACAGAAAGCGAGAAATCACCCCCCAGGGGAGATGGCCACGCCATAGTCCCTTCTCCTCCATTCTCCTCTCAGGATTTTGAGTATGCAAGCACACGCATCTGGGTCAAGTGAGTTTTAAGCCGCTGGGTCCAGGTCTCGGACTGAGGTTGACTATGTGGGTTTCCAGCGACGTAATCATTATGCCATCTGCTGGTCTCTTAGGTTTTTGTTTTTATACTTTTTCTTTATGAGAGAAAGAAGGAAAGGGACAAAGAGGTAGGTGTTTTTGATGTGGTCTCGCTGTGTCACCGCCCTCCCGTCCCAGCCTTCCAGTTAGCTGTAAGTACAGGCACATGACCATGCCCGGTGTGTTCAAGTTGACACGGGAACTGCATCCCGTGTGGATTTTAGTCTCCGTTACTGGGCTGCTTAGGTTTTTGAAAATGGCTAGATTTATAACTACTAGTGATATAATAATAATAATAATAATAAAATAGATAAATATACTTATCAGAAGAAAAGAAAAATCATCTCATCAAAACTGCTTTTTTCTCGTCTCACTGACCTTTCCCCTGGGCATTAGTAGCGTCCTACAAGGTGCTCTCCTGTCCAATCACTTGGCTGCTGTTGCTGCCTGGACGACATGCTGCCTGGTTCTGCTTTGAGGCTGAAAGGTCATTGGAGCAGAGCTGTTTGTAGTTCGTAGTCTCTGGAATTCTCTGGAACTCTTCCTAAACATGGTGTACTTCTAGGGTGACAGCAGATAGTCTGCAGATAGTCTGAACGCCATGGGATATCACGGGATGCCAGGAATATAAATAAAATATCTCTCTCTGCCGGCCTCAAGTTCCTCCGTCAGCTTTGCGATTTTTGTGATGTCTGCAGTATAGCAGTATTTGAAGATAATACAATATTTTTCATTTAGAATCATTGTCATTATCGGGGCTATGTGGAAGGAGTTTATAATTCATCCGTCGCCCTTAGCAACTGTATGGGACTCAGGTAAGGAATTTTCTTTATCTGTTTTTTTTTTTTTTTTCCTCTGTTCACCTGTTTCTTTCCCTTTCTTCTATCTCTGTCTACAAAATCAGTTATTTGGGGGACTTAAAAAAACTGAATTTATTTTAATGTTATTATTGAAGTTCTCTACAGCTATGTTTCAGAAAGTCTTGGTATGTTTATTTAGGAAAATAATATAGTCGATGCATTTTAATATCTTTTTTTTGGGGGGGGATGGGAAATTTTTTGCTATAGGGTACATACACTTGCCAGAAAGACAGAGACAGACAGAGAGACAGAAAGTGAGAAATCACTTCCCAGGGGGATGGCCATGCCGCAATCCCTTCTTCTCCATTCTCCTCTCGGGATCTTGGGCACACACGCCCACGCGCCCAGCACGAGTGTAAGCCACCGGGGCCAGGACTCGAACCGTAGTCAACTACATGGGAGTCCAGCAACATAGCCATTATGCCAACTGCTGGTCCCAATACATTTTAATACCTTAAGAGGAATCTTTAGTTTTTTGAGATCACTAAATAAATTTTTGTTATTTTAAATAAAATACACTTCAACTTTCTGCAGCACTTTATAAAATTTTCACCTATATTATTTTATTTAAGTTGAACGATGACCAAAAGAGGGCTATCGTCTCTACATTTAGGTGAGCAAACCAAAGATCAGAGAAATTGTATCACAAATCAAAGTTAGAACCGTGTGAAAATCCCATTTATCGAGGACCTGGCAGTGTAGCACTGCTAGCTGGTTGATTGCATGATTGCATGAACTAATAAATGTTAGCTTTAATTCTCAGACCAACTATAGATGAGATAGCTACAATTATTTTCATTTAAGTAATGTCACTCATTGCCATGTATGCCAGGCAGTGTTCTAAGTATTTCGTGCTTACGAAATAGTCTAATTTTCAGAATAGTCCTTGCAGAAAGTAAACTAAGGCAGAGGTTAAAGAACTTGGCGAGAGTCCCAGAGTCGAGGGCATCATTGGGGTTCCAGCTGTGGCCCTCTGGCTGCAGACCCCACACTCTGGGCCACCATCCTGGGTAGGACCTTCCGTTGTACTGGAGTCAGAGTGCCTAAGTCACTTACTGGCAGCCACGCTACAAGTAGCAGTTTTGAGCTTTAAGTTCAGCTTTTCCTCTGTCATGCTGCTTCCTCTGACATGCTAAAGACAAAGGTTTGCATTTAGGTTTCTGATTGCTTTTCCTGTCTTTTTTTCCCTCTTAAAAATTGTATATGTGTGATCCAACATTCAGGGGGTTGCTGCATTTAGAGACTGTGAGTTATGGGATTGAACCCCTGCAAAACAGCTCGAGTTTTGAGCACATCCTTTACCGAATGGATGATGTCCTCAAAGAACCCCTCCAGTGTGGGGTTTCCAATAAGGATGTGGAGAAAGAGACCACAAAGTTGGAAGAGGAGGAGCCTCCCAGCATGACTCAACTACTTCGAGTAAGGAAATGATACAGTTCTTCATGGCCCAGTCCAAGTATTTTTTTTAAAAAAACACGTGTTGATTCATGAAACCAGTACTCTTTGCTAACCACTTAGCAAGTATGGTGATATGAACCGGGATGAGAAGATGAACAATGTACAGTTCCTGCTACCAGGTTGAGTACAGTTAGACCCTCTGGGTTTTGGAGACCACACCTGTAGTCTTACACAGTGGTCATTCTAGCACTGCCTTGTTCCAGCCCATCAACTGTCTTCTGGAGAGCACTGGAGAGTTTACTTAGGAGCCTCTTACACAGACTGGCCGTGGGGATCCTTGAGCTTTAGATTGGAGAGACAGAGATGTGGCCCTCAGACTTTGATTACTTCATTGTCTTCAGAGACACTCCCCTCCCTGTTCATAGGCTTCTTTGGGTCTCCCTTGTTTACTCCTGACCTGAGCTCTTCAGCTGGAATGGTTTTAGGACCGCATCAGGCTCGGCTGTGGGGAGCGTACGTTTGTACATACGAGAGGATGCCGTGTGTTGGCAGGGGATGCCTCTGGTGACCTCATTCTAGCTTATGGCATTATTTCTATTGCCTCTCCTGCCAGCCACTCTTTTGACTGTTGGACTGTTCGTTTAAACTTTAAACATTAGAAAACATTTAAATTTTTGTTCATTCTTTGTACGAATTTTTTTGTATGAGTTTCTGTAAAATGGCAAAACTGATCACCTTCTTGAAATGGCAACCTTGTCCCAACTATGGGCTGGGATATTAGTGAATATTTTTTCTTTCTCTATCAAAATAATGATGGGTCTCCTGGAAAAGTGTGTGTGGTTGTGTAGTTGTGCTTTTAGGAAATGAGTCATTCTACTGCTTGAGAAACTTGAATAGCCTATTTTATCCTGAACTAGAAGTTTTCTCAGCTCAATTGGGTAATGGATACCACTTTAAAAAGAACTGTTTTTGGCTTTGTTACCCTGGGGTATGTTAGGTAAGATAATTTCATGATGTTCTAGTAGGCGAGAAGTCAGTGCGGGTTAGGGTGTGGCCGTGACATGTGAGCAAGTGTGTAACCTGGTTTCTCTGTCTTGCATTGATGATGTTTGTGTCTTGCCAGAGAAGAAGAGCCATCCTGCCCCAGACCCGCTACGTGGAGCTGTACATTGTCGTAGATAAGGAAAGGGTAGGATTGGGGACACTTTTTCTTCTTTTTCATGAACAGCAGATGAGAAGTGGGCATCCCATGGGGGAAATATAAAATATAATATATTTGCAGTGATTTTTCTTTAATGGTAATTTAAAAAATAAAATGGCAGGGGCCGACAGGTAGCGTGGTGGTTAAGGGCTCTGGACTCCCACATGGCTGACCGTGATTCAAGTCCCAGACCTGGTGGCTTGCTTTCTCACTTTCCCTTTCTCTGTCTCTCTCTGGTGAACAAGCATGCCTTGTCGCAAATTAAAAAAAATAATGATGAATAAAATTAGACAAATTTAAATAGAGATTATTTGAAATGTTTTGTTTGACTTTCAATTCCAACTTTGTGTGAAAAGGTTGAGGGTACTTCAAGAAGTTTGTAGAAAAGTGGAATTGAAGTACAATATTGATGTAAAACATTTTTAAAATTTTATTTAACTTTGTTATTATTATTTATTGTTCAATTTGGCCAGAGAGAGTCAGAGAAAAAGGAAAAGTGAGAAGGCAAGCTACCGGGTCCAGGACTTGGTCCACAGTCAGCCACGTGGGAGTCCAACCCCATAACCACAATGCTGCTGGCCTTGAGGGCAAAACATTTTTGAAATCCATGTAGTTTTTTCACAATTTGCATTTTCCGCGAACTTTCTGAAGGCCTTTGTATTGTAGAAACTTTAAATGGTTGGTGGTTCCTTTCTTGTAAGCTACAGGTACAGTTTTGAGAATTTTTGTGGCTTTTTAAAAAATCCCTAATTGTGGGGTCAGCAGGTGGCGTGGTGGTTAAGCGCAACTGTACTCCCACATGACCGAACACGGTTCGAGTCCTGGCATCTTGCCCCCCCCACCCCGCATCTCTCCTGGGTCTAAATAAAATAAATAAATAAAAGTTAAATAAAATACATCTTTAAAAAAATTCCTCATTGTGTATAGTAGAAGAAAACAAGCCATAGTTATTAAATTTTTAATTAGTCATATTTCTTCAACACAGCCAAGTGGCAAAGGGAAAGCACAGGGAATATGAGCAAGTGTGAACTCTGCTTCAAATACTGGGTAAAGAGTTCCTGTAGAATGTTCTGGACAAGTTACTGAACTAGAGGTTTTTGTTTTTTTGTTTTCCTTTAGTGCCTTCTCCAAACAGATTTTTCATATGCAGGTAGAAAATGGTTCAGAATGAAAATGATTCCATTTCAGTCAAGCCCTAATACGTTAGTATTTTTTCTTGATAAGGAAAATCATACGATGCCTAACTGAAAAAAAAATCTGATGTAATCTGACATTAATGCCTTTATCATAGGGTAAAATAGAAAATTCTTTAAAAGAGTTTCTTTTGCTTAGTGAGCATGTTAGCTGTGTAAAACAGTGTTAAAATAGACATTGGGGTTTAGCCAGGTATTAAAGAAAATAATTAGACCTGTCAGGTATTTGGGTTACTGTGTTAATATGGTTAAATGTTTATATATATTTATATCTTCAGATAATTTTTTAAGTAGTGATCATTGGTGAACCTCTCATTCTTAATTCAGCCCAAGGTTTAGATGTGGCTTCTTGGTCATGTCATGGGCCTCAGAGAGGAGAAAGTTCCCAAGTCCTTTAGATGACTTTTTATTCCTTTATCCGTGCATTTTCGTTGTTTTCAGCTCTACGTTAGTGAAATGCTTGGGATTATTTTGTATTAGAGCGAATAGAACCACAAGAAGAAAACTCATTTTAAAGTTGCTAATTTGGAGAAAATGAAGACTTCAGTGTTTTCTCATTGTTACTCATTTCACACTTGTGCTGGTTTTTCTTGTATTATTTGCCACCAAAATGTACCCTCTATAGTTATTCATTTAAAATACTGGTGCATGCTGGACCGACTCGGTGTTCAGTTCAGAGGAAGTGTTCGAATCTTACGTTCACTGTGATCGCGCGGTGTTCCTAACCCTCCACCGGCTACGGACTTTTCCCTTCTTGCTTTTCTAGTACGACGTGATGGGGAGCAATCAGACTGCCGTGAGAGAGGAGATGATCCGCCTAGCAAGCTACCTGGACAGCGTGAGTGTGTCTGCTCTCGGTTAGGGCCCGCCTGTCCTAGCTGTCCTCACCTCAGAGCAGAAACTGGAAGTCGTCGTACTTCCGGGCTCTGGTGACCTCTCCCAGCACCTAAGTGACCCTGGCTGGCAGAAGTCTGCTTCCGAATGTTTTGGTAACGTGTTTTAATATTTGAAAAGAAAGACTTTGAGAAGACAAGAGGGGTTTCATGTTAGCATCTATTTTTCTGCAGAGTAGAGAGGCCGAGGTACTTCAGCAATCACAGAACATTTTTAAGTTTCATTTCATTTTATTTATTTAAATTTTAAAGTTTTGTTGAATCTCATTTTGAATAGGGCTGCCTCATAACCTGAAACTGTGATATGTCAATGTTACTTTTTATTTATGTGTATGTGAGTTGATTAGAGATTCTGTAGTTAAAAAATTAGATGCATGTTCTTATAAGGTAGGTTTATCTATAATGCATTCCTTTGCTATGAACAGCAAGCATAATGAAAATGACGATGGTGATGACGTTCCTCTGATTATTTACAGTGTGCTAGAGCCGAGCTAAGTGCTTTACATTCATTAATCCACTTATTCCTCACAGTACCTCTGTGAGAGAGAGAGGAGTGCCACAATTCTTACGTGAGAACTTTGCGGTTCCTATAATGAGAATGCTTAAGAGTTTAGAAAAGCAATATGGGGACCAGCAGTTGGCATAATGGCTACATCACTGGACTCCCATGTAGTTGACCATGGTTCGAGTCCCAGACCCTGTGGCTTAAACTCAAGCCAGGCGCTTGTGCATGCATGCCCAGGATACCGAGAGGGGAATGGAGAATGGATTGTGGTGTGGCCATCCCCCCTGGGGGGTGATTTCTTGCTTTCTGTCTCTCTGTCTCTGTCTTCCTGGTGAGCTCAGAGCAAAACCTCTCCAAAAAAGAAAAATATACAAAAGTAATATGGTTTACTGTATATGAGGGGTTTTCAGAAATTTCATGGAAAATGAGTGTTATGAAGAAAGAGCATGGATTTCAGAATTTTTTTGCATCAAAATGAACTTGTATATGTATGTTTTTTTATATTAGAAGATATGTGCACTTTCAAGAGAGAGAGGGAGAGGAAGAGGGAAAGACAGGGAGAGGGAGCGGGAAAGAGGGAGGGAGATAGAGCGGGAGAGAAAGAGGGAGA